AAATTAATTCCAATGATGAAACCAACATTGTATGAACCAAGGATATCAATTGTAACGTTTCTGTCATGGCAGTCCTATTGGATTCCAAGACAGCTGACACATTAGAATGTATGTATTCACTCAATGTAATTAAAAACCTAGTAAACAATACTCTAACACTAAAACCTCACAAAATGTATCACTATGAATTTCATAGCAGTTCTACTGTACTGACAACATTATAACTCAAGCTAGCCTACTTGTTTGAGTTATATTGAGACAGTACCATTTTTTATTTCACAATGCAGATCAGTCAGATATTAACAATACATAACTCAATGCAAATGAAACACAGACGTATGTTTGGCTCGAGGCAACAAGAAAATGTAATAGTCTAAACCAATGGTAATATAACTGTAATACAATGGTGTATATAGTATAAAATTAATACAATGGGTAATAGCAGTTTTTCAGATCTCTTCATCACTCTAATTTGGTTCTGAATCCCTGTGGTTATTATATGGATTGCAACATCCTGTCTCACAGCACCCGCAGCCAAGAATACCCGGCACCATAACCTGTTTGCATGCTTATGCTCAGCATTCCGTCTTGCAGTTGCAACTTGTTATCCAAAATTATTCTGCTGGTAATGATTCAAGTGTATTTATGATAGAAACATAAGCATCATTTTCAGCTTGCCAACCACACCGGTCAGGTGATGGCAATGGTGGATTAGGTTCAAGTGCACTTTGCCAAATGAGACTTTGATAATTGGCTCTACATACATGGTGCACAAGGGAGCCGTACATTGGCAGAAGTTTGTTCAGAGGTTTTCCTTGATGGAATAATTTCATCCTAACATACAGAAGGGTTGTCAAGGATGTTGGCAGCTTATACAGCAACACAACAACATTTTCTACTACACAACTATCTTAGAGAAGCTCCTCACTTAAAAAATTAACTAGGTTTTCTTTGTTTGCTGGTAAGGGTATGAAACTACTCCATGATGCTGGGAATGGAAGAGATCTGCTCCTAATGATTCTGCACAGTAGAATGTAGTTTGAATGCTTAATATTCTTGTACCTGCCTTTATGGATGGTGATATGTATCAATCAAAGACAATGTTGACTTGATTGCACATTGTAATACTTGGCAAACACTTATTGCACAAAGGAATCAGCCAAATCTCCAAATTTTAGTGAAGTTTTTTGCATTCCTATTCTCTGTACGAGATTCTCTGTTGATAATAACAGTCAATTTTTCAGAAGTAGTATCTGGCAGAACAGTTACTGCCTTTCCTCCCATCAAGATCTATGACAAGGCTGCTTTGCTGGCCATGTTGAGTGATTTGTTCAGTTTAAAAAATGATGGAGGGTATCCAGACAGTTTGTGCTGTCCGAGAGAGTGTACCAAACCTTCTACTCACTGCAACTCCTTCAAGTAGACTTTTCTGGATCTCATTTGCATTCTGCAACTGTTTCGTTTTTCTTCGCTGTCCTATAGTTGACTTTACATCCTCACAGGTTTTCAATTTTGATTTGGGTATGTTTGCATACTTGCTTTTGGTAGCATCTGTAGTAAGACATTTCTGGATAATGGTGTTCACAATTTCTCTTCCTTTGTCACATGCATTCAGAAGGTCTAATGCAATAATTTCCAGTACATCTCCCATAGAAATACATAATAACTCATCAATGGAAACAAGCCAATAGAACCGTTCCAACTGCTCTTATAGCAACTTGACATAGCTGTAATCTCACTTCTCATGCAATTTATCTTTTGTTATGGTTGAAAGAGATGGTTGCATTGATCCCAAACATTTGATTTACCATCTTAGTTAGGTGGCCTCTTTCATTGTAGTTCAGTTTCCATTATTGTCTAGCTGATTTGTGGTGTTTACTATACCACCAGCAATTTTGCAAACCTTCTTAAAGTGCTCTCTTGCCTGGTCGGTTGAAATATCACAAATGGAAGATTAGTTGTCTTGACCCTGAATCCTCTTTTCACGAACTCAACATATACTGTAGGAGCAAAATTCACTATATCCTTCATCTATTCAAGATATACTGGACCCCATCTTGTGTAGCTGGTATGATCATTCCCAGCTATCAGTGGAAGCATTTCTTCAAAAACCAGTTTCCTTCAAGTTGAGCCCTGATGAAGCACAAGAGAGTATTGACTACTTCCAAATAGTTCATCCAGTAATTGAATGTAGTTTAAAGGGAGTGTTCTTCCAAAAATTCTTTAAGTAGACTGACAATCATTGGCAGACTCACTAATAGTTCGTTTACTGCATTCCTTCCTATTTCAGTCATAATTTCTATATGCAAAAGATACTGGAAAGTTGGTCAATGACATCATTATCAAATCCTTTGCTTGAACTGGACAACCAAACAATGAATTCATTTATCCATATATGCCATATTACCTTGAATGTTATCTTGTGTGTTCTGATAGCACAGTTGCACAATTTTCCTTTCATTATGTTGGTGGCAGTGTTTTCTGCAAATAATCCTCTTTCTTTACAACAAGCCCTGAGGCGGTGAAATGCTGACCAGTTGCTGTTAGGTGAACCTTGATGATAGGGATGCCTCCCCATCGAATGATTACTCCTTCAGTCTGTTTTGGCTGAGCCCACACATGCTCATTCACTTTGCAATACAATGCCTGATCAAATGTTATGACTGGGTGCTGTTGTCCCAGGTAGCCTGCAATTGTTTTACATCGCATGATGACAGTACAAATGGTGTCATACTCAGATACTGGTGCAGGCAAGATTGGACAAAATCTTTCACCAAAAAATCGATGGTGGTGAAATATCATAATCAGAAACTGGTTAAACAATGTCTACCCTGATATGGCAGCATTCTCTTGGTTCTCAGCTGATATTCTACCCAATATCTATGGTAGCTCTACTTAATCTGTTGAACAGCTGTGTTTATTGAGCTTTTCATTCATGTTACTACCAGTACTATGGGCAGGTGGTTTCAATTACTTGTTACAGGTCATCAATCACCAGAATGATTTTGTTAAATTCAGGTGGTATGTCTTTTATGGGTTTTCTTCCTTCCTATTTCATGGGTGATTTATTCAATTTCAACTGGTTTCAATGGTCTTTGAAATGCTACAATTTGCATTTTATGAACTGCTTGTTTTCCATCCAACGTCTCCTTGAAAATGTCAAAGGTGCCCAATGAAAACTGAACAAAATGACTGGGAATTGTTCCTAGTCAAGTTTCTCAGCAATGATGGTCTCGATGTGGTGAACTATATTCGTATGGTATGCTGCATCCAGAAGCGTGGAGACTTTGTACCAGCTTCTTAGATCTAATTGTATGATGTATCAACAACCCTAACCCAACATCTTTGGCATTAGCTTTTTGCCCCTTGATTGTAGCTAAACCAAATCTTGACATATATTCAGCATGCCATGCTTTTGCTTCAGGATGCCATGCTTTTGATTCAGCAGAAAAAATATCTTCTTGTGCAATCTCCACATGTGACTGGGAATCAGAGACTTGTTGCTTCCATTGTTCCTCCCACCTGCATTCAGAGTGGTAACATGCCCCAGCAGCTATTAGATCTTCTACACCAATTCAGCAATGCAACACTTCATTCTTCTCTGACAGCTTATGTACTTCATTGGCTGATTTAAACAATGACATGACTCAGTTTCTTCTTCTTAGAATGTTTCTGGCAGAGTATACACATCCTCCAGTGAACTGTTGGAATAGATGATCTGCTTGATGTCCCAGTGTGTTCTTCACTTTGTTGTTGGTCAGGTTTCCCTTTCATCTTGTTCCTTGCACAACTTTCTCTCAATATGTCCTTTGTGTGTAAAAGAAATGTAGCAAGAGCTAATTGAGGTGCTAACTGAGGTGTTTGGAATGTTCCAGCACAGGTGCCATAATAAATGTTGAATTCAGCAGCTGCCCTATGTTGGATGAGTGCCTTGTTTATTCATGCAATTCCAGCAGGTGTAAATGGCTAATTGTTGAATGTAAACCTACTTCAAGACATGATGCACCTTGTAGATTTTGAGTCATACCTCTATGCTTTGCTGAACTCAGTGATGCTATCAGCTCCCTTGTAATATTTGTATAAGGGCAATAAAGGCATTAAGGGCAAGTGTCTTTTCGGGAATCTTCATTGGAGGTTTTCATGTTGAGGTAATCTGAACCAGAACAGATTTGATATAGTAATTTGCAAACCTTTTGGGTGCATCTACACATTGCCATATGGCGACATTGCCTTTTGGAAGTACTAAAGCACAGCACAGTATGGATTGTTACTGCACCATGCGTGCAGCACATGATTAGATTTTGTTGCTACATCACCGTAGCAGCGTGCTATAACTGGGGAGTGTGTCACTATGGAAACATAGCTGGCAATTGTGTGTAGACCCCCGTGATCACTACATCACAATAGCGTGCCATATGGTGACATAGAGCAATGTGTAGCCATGCCCTTTCGGTATCTAATAATGAACAAAATTGTAAAGTTGTGGCAGCCATCTTGGAATCCAATATGGATACCACAAGGGAAATGTTACGATTGATCTCTTTAAGTTGTACAATTTTTGTTTTGTCATTGGACTTAATTTCTAACCCTAGTGGGGGCTGAAATATTCACCAAAATATGAATTTATATATTTGGATTCCAATATGGCGCTACATGGATTATTTGTCAGATTGGCAACATGACTTCTGACACACGTAGACCACTTTTACCTGAAACACACTGCTGCCGCCTGAGGTAATGAGTTGCCTATTGGGCAAAACCTTTTGCTTTTCTTTTTTACTCTACTAGCTAGTCATGCCATGTTTTCTTCAGCAATTCTGCTGTCTGTTAGCTGATTCTAGTAATGTAGCTCCTATTTAACAGAACAGCAAGTTGTTTTGAATTCTAGCTAAAAAATCTGTATCCATATGCAGCTTATTATTTTTACCTTTTAATAGTAAAAATGATACGCTCCTACTTACCATTTTTGTCTTTATAATTAATATGATCTTTACCTGTTTGAGTTTGGTGTTTTTCATTGTTGGTTATTTCAGTCTCTTCTTTGATATGTTCCATTACTGTTAGTGGTTTCCTCGTGCTTAATTCTGGAAGCAAGCAAAAGATCTGAGTTGATTTTGTAAAGAAAGTATCTAAATAGAGAACATCGTATTCCTACTGATTCAAAAATACGCAAGCTTTCGTGGGCACAACTGAATTCATCAGATGTGCTTCTATAGGTTATTGCCCACAAAAGCTCACATCTCCCTAAATGTCCTGCAGGAATATGTAAGTCAAGTGGTTTATTTGAAAATGGAGAGTAACAAAACCAGTGTGGATAGGACCTTCTCCCCTGTGGCATAAGGCAAAAAGTCTTTAATCTATCTAAGATACCAAGGGCTAATACTGAAGGTTTGAACTGCATGAGTTTGGGTCATCCCAGGCCCATGTCACTACATTCTCTGGCTCCCAGGCACGATGTACTCTGCACACACTACCCATTTCAGAAAACTGAACACCTTCTCTTTGTACTCTGCTTAATACTCCTGTTCTTTAGGAGCTGGGCTCTCTTAGTATCTCTGCCTGCAGTGGGTTAGACCAGGGGCATGCAAAGTCCAGGCCATGGGCTGGATCAGGCCCATCCCAGACTCCATTTCCGGCAGCCCCTGCCCAAGTTCCTGTGGTTGGTTTCCATGGAGACCCCAGGAGTGGCAGGGCCATGACAGCACAGGGCTAGGGTTTTCATGGAGACTGGCCCAAGCAGCACTGCCAGGGTGCATGGCTGTGTGGGGAGCTGCTTCAGGCCCAAGGCAGGGCCCGGAGCCTGGGGTCAGGGCGAGGATCTTGCAGTGGCAACAGCATGGGCTGCAGCCAAGGTGAAGCTAAGATCTGCTGCCTGCCCATACTGGGTAGAGGTGTGCAGGCAGCTGATCGCAGCTCTGCCGTGGCTCTGAACCATACCGTCACCACTGCAAAATCCCAGCCTTAGCCCTGGCCCCGGCCCTGGAGCAGCTCCTCCCCAGCCGTGCGCCCTGCCAACGGTGCTTGGTCCGGTCTCCGTGGACTCCCTAGCCATGAGCCGTCACGGCCCTGCTGCTCTTGGCATCTCCAAGGAAACTGGTCACAGTGACACAGGCAGGGGCGGCTGGGAAATTGAGTTAAGCCACTGCTGGATCTGCCATTTTGCCCACCCCTGGGTTAGACCCAGGTGCTAAGCGCCAAGCATCTTCAGAAAAGTGGAAACTGAGCAGAGTAAGGGGGGCAGTGAACTGGAAAGGAAGCAATGTACCTACCTTGGAAACTTCAGAGGCCCGCCCACATAGGCAGGAACAGTGGTTTGTCTAAAAATTGTTCCTCTTAGAACTGTTGATTCGCGTCTCTGTGAAAAGACTGAGGCTCGTGTCTCAGAGTCCTGAAATGGCCACAGACAATATAGATGACTCCACAGAAGTTATTTAGCAGACAAGAGACAAAGCAAACACTCCTACTTCTACATCAAACATCTGCTGCTGGTGGTGTTCAAAAATCCTGCTAAAAAATCACATTTCATTAACATCCATGTTTTGTGAATGTGTGGCCCAGTTTGTGGTGTCTTTTCACAGCCCAGAGAGCTGATAAGAAGACACAGCAGGCAGAACTAAAAGAAAGACAGTCTGAACCTGAATCTTCTCAGCTCCCAAACAAATGTCACAGACTTCTTTTATGTCCTTGAGCAAGTCACTTAAGCCTAGACCCTCCAAAAGAGCTATGTATGCAATTCTGATGGACTGCAGTGCGAATCTGGGATCTAAATACATTAGAGCAGGGGTTCCCAAAGTTTTCATGCCGTGGCCCAGCAAACCATGGCCCAGAAGTGTCTGTGGCCCAGCAAACCATGGTCCAGCAGTCACAGCTGACCGTGGCTAGAATTTCTGGCCAGAAGAAATTCTCTGGGCAGGGTGGTGGGCCAAACCTTGCACTGCTGTGGGCCCTGTGAAAGGAGCCACGGCCTCTTTGCCTGGCTCTGGGGGGACCATGGTTTGCCAGTCCATGGCCACTTCTAGTCCAGCAGCCGACTGTGCTGCAGACCAGCAGGCTACCTGCCATGGCCTGGCACCAGGCCGTGGCCTGGGGATTGAGAACCCCTGCCATAGAGAATCTAAGCCTAAGGACAGGGTACACTACAAAGCTATGTCAAGTCAACCCTGTTGAGTTCGAGACTGATGTATTTCTGTAACGCAGCGCCAGGTTACCAAACATATTTACAAGCTGCCAAACAGCTTATAACATAGCATCAAACTACTAAATGCCAGAACAGGCAGGCCCAGTGGGAAAAAGCTGCTCTAGAACCCAAGGGAATATTAATGGTGGTTAACATAAGTTACTAGTAGTGTCATACTGGGGCAAGATTGTCTGAGGTACAGCTACCATAACTACCACAACTTTATCAAAGTAACACTGGTAAAATGCTTCATTTAGATGCTGCACTCAATACAGCAACTTCTTTTTTTCCCCAGAATAAGGGCATCTACGCTCAGAGGGAGGCAATGGGATAATACTTACCCCTATCTTATGTCTTGTCTAGTCAGACATCTAAGCCTTTCACCTCAGGAGCTGTCCCTACCTACAGTCATCTCCAGCACCTCACCTGATATGGCTCCGAATTTAGGAGAAGCATCTAGAATCTAATGCAATGCACACAATAACAATGATGAGAGTACAAAACAACCAGGCTGCAACAGAAGACTAGTTGTGCATTGCAGGCAGATCCCCACCTGCCTTGGTGCCAGTACTGACAGCATTGTACTCAACCTCCCAAGAGAAGTTCACCTTAGAGGAGGAAGGGGAAGGATCTGTAATTACCCCATTATAGGCAGCAGCATCAGGATGGAGAGCGTATGGTCAGAACACCCAAATAGATGCTCTCACAGAATACTTAGGTGCAGAGGACTGACTTGCTTGCATCATTTTGCATTACAGACTGAAACAGTGTAACAGTTATTCTGCTGGCAGAATAATCAACTTACATTCAAAAGAGTGTTGCCTGGGTTCCAATTTCTTTCCATGGTTAGCAGGAAGTCTTTGGAAAAGGTCATATTCACTTTCTCATTCTGGATGCACAGAACTCCAATCCCTTTGATTGAGAATTTAACTTGCCGTTGCTGGCTGATCAGTTGGGATATGTATTGGAGGGTCTCCTTCATGCATTCTTGTATGATCTCCCATTTCACTGATCTCTCCACAGATACAGTCCTTAAGTTCAAAGAAACAATTGGAATTTCACCTGGAAATCAGCAGTCAGAGAACATAAAGAGATCTGTAGAGTTAGCAGGCTTATCAGTGGCAATAAGGCTCATAGACACTACCTTGCTATTGACATGGCTGTGAATGAATTAATCATAATTGCACGCCTGGAGCATCTTCCTGGGGGAAGTTTAAAGCACTCTACAGTTATGAATAACATCTCACAAAGCCCTGTCATGTCATCCCACCTATTTAATTAGTAACAGCAGCTAACCTTCTATAAAAGCTTCACCAAGAAGGATCTCCAAGCACTGTAGAAGCAACCTGAGACCCAGCAGCTGACTAACGAGCAGCAATGATACAGATGATGTCATGGGAGGAAGAAAAGCATGCCAATTATACAACTGGTCCAATAAAAGGTAACACTGAAAAGCCCTGCCTCTCTTTGTTTCAAGTGGAGTTTCACAAACTATGCACACTGGCCCTGGGGCCTACTCTGCCTAGGCCCCAGGGTCACCCCTTCTTCCATCTGCCAATGGGGCGGCACCTTACAGACTAACTGAATTACAGATGCAGAAGGTGCATCTCTACCCGGCTCCCTGACTGACTTCAGGCTAACATGCCTAACCCCGTCTGCCAGTTTTGCCAAATTTCTTACCAGCTGTGAAAGGGGCAGTAAAAGCCCCTCTAGTGGGTCCCAGACCCCTGCCCTACACGCCCCGATACTCACCGCAGGAGCCCAAACAAGCAGCAGCTAGGAGGGAACATTGGATGCAGGCTCCGCGATTCCGGAGCTCCCTGAAGCTGCGGATCAGCCAGGGACAGGGGCGGAGCCTCGGCGAGACATGGGCTGCTCAAGTAGCAGCTAGGAAAACAGCTGAGCGGCCGGCGGGGGAAGAAGACAACGCCGGCCAGGACCAGCTGGAAAGTGGGCAGGAGGGGCACAGCAGCAGCTGGAGGGCTCTAGCACGGCAGGAAAGGAGCCCAGGCCCAGGGAAGCAAGAGATGCCCAGGAGCAACACCACAGCCTCATCAGGGAATGCAGGTACGGTGGCTGGGGAAAGAGGCAGGGAGCGGCTAACTCCCATGAGCAGCTTGGCAGGGAGGAAAGAGAAGCCTGGCATGGGAGCTGCGTGCCCCTCCAGCTGGGGAGGAGCAAGAGGGCTACCCCAGGTCAGCAGGGATCCAGAGGCAGTTGAGTTGGGAAGAAGGATTGGGGAGGGGCACAGAGCGGCTGCCCACCCCCGTAAGCACTAGAAGGGAAGAGACGAGCAAGTCCCCCCTCCCTTATTCTTTCTCCTTTGTTTTGAGCAACAAGTGGGCACTGGAAGACATGATCTCAGGAGCCTGTTGGCAGACGCCATATGTTTTGTGTTAGATTCCTGTGGAGTCCTAGTTAGCCCTAAGGCAGGGCAGGTTTAGGGACCCAAGCCAGCCTGAAGCTGAGGAACCGGCTGTGGAAAGAAGATCGTACTGGCCAAGAAGGCCCAACCCGTCCCAGGGCGGGTCATCTGGGTGACAGGAGATATCATCCAGAGGAAGACCTGCAGAGTGCAGCATTTGCCCAGGCTGTGGAAGTGGTAAGGGTGGGGTAAAGGGAAGTTTTTGGAGCTCCACGAAGAAAAGACCAGGGTCGAGACCTCTTCACTTTTGGGGGCCACCTGAAGAGAACTGCCTCCCCAACAAGGAACATCAAAGATGTGGCAGGTGAGTAGGAGCAGCACCCAAGCAGGAGCAGCATCTAGGTGGCACCCGAACCCAAGTCTCACCCTGACGTTGCTTGCGGGCAAGGCACCAATCAAGAAGAGGCCGAAGCCCTACAACACCTACCAGTGACACCAGCACTCTGGCAAAAGTCAGCAGTAGACTGACACACCAGAGGAGGAGTGGGTGGGCTTTTTTGTTTCCTCTTATTGCCACTGCTTCTTGCTCTCAGGATATCATTTCTACCAGTGATTCTTAAGCAGGGTGTTGGGGCCACGCAAGAGTAGCACTGTTAGCTGTGCAAATACCTACCCTTGATTCACAAGACAAACCCAGAGAGTTCAATGAGGAATCCTTAGTGTCAAAACCATTCTGACCTGCTGTTGTCTTTCTTCTGAGTTCTTTGCAACAGAAGAATTGCTCTAATATTTTTCCATAGTAAAAAAAAAAGAATGTAAGCTGAGAGTGGGCATTTTCAGAGGAGTGCCTTGAGTCTAAAGGGTGCCTTGAGGCTAAACAAACTGAGAACTACCATTTAATACTCTCCCTTCCCTCTGCAATGCAACCCCCCATGGCATTGACACAAAACTGCTTTCTTTTCACAACTGTACATGTACTTCATAGAAACCATGGCTCTTGCCAGTTCTGTTTCAAGCTGAGCCACAATGGATGATTTAGTTAATATACATTTAAGCAATTACAATTAGACCAGGTTACAAATGCATTCCAAGGAAAGGCAGAGGTTTTGCTTAGTCTTCTTACCAGGATAGTAACGGTATGTTTTGTATTTCTTCCGTTGATAGTCTGGGCAAAGTTTCTGAGATGGGAGAAACACGGGTCTTTGTTTCACCATAAATTTGTTGCTGCCAAGATCTACCTTTTTTAGGGCAAATGAAAATATTCCCAGCCCAGGTATTATGACACCCTGAAGAAAAAAAAAATCAAGATTGAGGGTTGAAGACAAGTCTGCTTTCTCATATTTCATATTGCCATGTTATGTCAGAACTCTGTGATGGTGGTGATGTGATGATCTCTTCACACTTTGTGTATTCCTGTGTAGCACAGAATTTTATTTCTCTCCCTGCCTTTCACAAATCTAAAACTTGACGTAGTAACATGGTAGCCAATATGCCTAACATAGCGGAGCAAAAAGGAGCTTACAACCAAAGGCTTCAATGTAGCTAATCCTCATCAGGGTGAGCCTTCCTCCTTACCCACAGGAGAAGTGCTTCAGGCCATAGGAGTATGGACTGCTGGGATGAGCAAAGATTTAATAAACCATGAGCTGCTTTGTTAGACACATCACCAGAAAGTGCCACCAAGTGAGTATGAATTATGCTAGATTTCTCTAAAATCTCAGAGCAACCTGGTTGCCCCGTACCTGACTAATGGGAATGGAGGGACTTGCCATATTGTGGAAGGCAAATATATATATTTTTAAATATGGATATAATTTTCTTATTTGAAAACAGATGCAACAAACCTAATTGGATACATATGGGCACAAGAAGAAATAGCAGGAGAGCCTCACCTTGTTCATGGAGAGGTATCGGGAAGCAAATTCAAACACACCATCCCACACATTTGTTATTTCTGAAATGCAAATGAGGGGTGTGTTACATTCATGATGACAAACACATACAAAGAAATTAACCACACTTGGAAGGAAATTAGTCTCCTTATTTCTCAACAGAGGTACTAGCAGACCTTACATAGGAGAAATACATCTGTACTAGCAGACCTTACATAGGAGGAATACATCTTAGGCAGCAATGAGAGTTACTTCATAGTAAATGTTTCAACTGAATTTTCCTTTTTCAACTAATTTTGGAACAAATTCATTTTAAAATACTTAGTAACTATGAGACACAAAACTGGAGACTGTACAAGGAGCTGTGTGTTTTGCAGTTTGAAGAGCAGCTTACCAATTTGTAGGCAAAAAAAAAAAAATAGGAAAGGAGAGAAATAGAATTTCAAAGTCCCTTAGCTAAATTCAAGATTTTCATGAAAATAGCACTTTGGACTGCTGTTCCTGGCTGTCATTGTAGCACAGTAATATGCTGCTGGAAGCCTAAGCTTTCATTAAGGAAATCAAACCACACAATTCCCTTCTTTGCAAGAGAAGCCTGTAAAATATTACCTGGTCACTAGGGACACTTTTCTATGGGACATCTGCCAAAAGACTTGGTAGGAAGAGGACTGGGCTGCTGAATAACCTACAATCCCAGGGACATAGAGAGATCCAACACAACCCATGCTGCTAGGCTAAATCCAAGTATCTAAGTTGGTACAGTTAGATACATCCACCACTTCCATCTGAAGAGATCCTGGCATCTTAACTGAAAGAAGAGTTAAATTTGGCAAATCTTCTTCTACCAACAAGCATTTCCTTTCATTCTACAAGTGAAGAAAATGAAGCCCCAATATCAGATGACTTTTGTCCAAAGGCTGCACAGGAGGCTGATAATAGATATAGGACCAGAGTGCAGGAGTTCTAGCTGCAATGTTTCTTCCTGAAACTACTAAGGCACTGAGGCAGTGGGGTGTCTAGGTATCCACCACGTATGCAGTGTGCGCCAAATAGCTCACGCACCTATTTCTATATTTAAGATTCTGTGCAGTGACATGAATGGGATGGGACTCTGTAGTACCTTACCATCCAGGGTGAGTGCTCTGAGTGTATGGAAATCGCCCGTGGAAATTCTGAGGATCTCTCGGTGCATGTCCTCTAGCAGATGGGCTTCGTTTTTCCTCCGTCCCCTTAACAGCTGGGAAACCAAGTAGGCAGAGGATTTTGTCACTACTGCCGTTGTTTCATCCACAACCCTGTCCTTTCTGGTGTGCTTTCCACATCTGTCCTGATTTGGTGTCTTCAGTGTACAAAGCCCTGCCAAGAGAGACGCAGAGCAGCAGCTGCAACTTCTATGGACAGACAGTGAGGTGGAAGCAGGAAGGTGCAGGGACAGAAAGGGTAGAGCAGTCTGCAAGGTACCAGTATTGCCAAAGGATACATCATAAAGGTTAAGCAGAAGGATCTGCTGTGAGATCAGCAGCTCAGTAGTGGGACTGACTTGAGGAGGCTTTTCTGGGAACTACTGACTCGGGATCTGATGATACTTGAGGGTTTGCATAGCATATAGTTTTCCTCTGGAGTGATTGGCTTGTTCTTGTTGGAGTTGGTTTAGTTAACTGAGGCATGGAGCTAGGTTAAGCAGCCTTCTAAAAAGGCAGCCCCTTGGGAACAGCATGAGTAGCAAACAGAGGGAAGCAAACAGAGACAGTTTCCCATGGAGTTTGCTTTAGGAGAAAGCCAAAGAGTAGGATATTTG